TAAGTCGTATTTATTGAGTCCTTTTGTAACCTTACTATCTTCACAGTATCCCTTAGATGTAAGTAAAGGCGGTAGTATTATGACAGAGCTAAATTTACACAGCCTCACTCAAGGCCCTAGTACTGGTGCACATTGTGCTCCTAAGCTGGTTAAATGGCTGAAGCAGCCATTTCCCAGGTCCCTTTAAAAAGGATCACATTTTATGCATCTACTTGCTATTTTTCCCTCTTCTTTCAACCAGCATTGGAGAAGGAAAATATATGTCTTTGGTCACCAAATTTCATTTGCCATGGTTGATTCAACCTCTCTTTAAAATTTTCCTGTACTTCTCAAGTCTGGAGGGAAGGAATTTTTTCAGGTAGCTCCCATCACCACCTCTCTGAAGGCTTTTTGAATTACTTGTTCATTTGTCAAAGCAGACGGCTAAAATTATATAAACTCCAGCTCATTTTTACAATTTAAGTTATTCCATATGTAAAACCAATTCAAACCAAAATAAGTTCCAGTTCATATTACATGGAGTAATAAAAATGTATTCTCTGTTAATTTTGTTTCCAGTCTCCTGTCTGCTTTATGAAACAGTTATTCTGCCTTACTGTCAAGTATCCATCTCCCTAGCAAGAAAATGTTAGTGTTAAGGGCAAGAGAGCTGGTACCTCCACTGTTCTGGAGCAAGAATAAACTAACTACTTGAGTTGGAAAGAAGAACTCTGAACGTTAAACTCAGGACATTTCCCAAGAAGCCATATGACCAATTTAAAAGCTGATGATACAGTGTGCCTAAAATAATGCATGAACTCTTTTATTTGTAATATATTGGTACATGTGATTAATCATGCTATTTCATATGAATATATGCCTAAACCAAATTAAAAAAAAAAAAAAATTCATTCAACCAGCCATCCTAAAAATTCAGCAGAGCTCAATAAATAGCATGCTTTCACAAAGAGGAAGCTTTAAACATTCAGTAATTTATATATGCTAAAAATAAGAAACAAGGTATGGGAATGGGAGAATATATAGCAAAAGTAATTCCAAGATTTTCTTCATTTTGATTGTATTGCTTTCTTATCTTCAGGAGGAAAGATTTTGACTTCAAAGGTAACAAAATATTTGAGAAGGGAATTTACGTCTTTCAGTTCCAGATGGTATTCTTCTGATATTTTCTCAGCAGTCCATTTTTCTGGATAAAGTTTATGATTATTGAGAAGTGTCAATGCCTCTTCAATGGAAATTTTGCCTCTGGGAATGTTCATATTCATCGTGTCAAATTGTTGGCCTTTTGGCAACCTGAATTCCTTTGGCTCTTGAGGAGTTTCAGCATCTTTCACCTAGTACCAAAAACGGAACGAAGGAAAATACTTTCAAGCTGAGAGAACAGGTGTGATATCTACTTACATGCTTCTCAAATCTCCAGTATTCTTTAAATAAACGCTACACATGCTTCTCCAAACTACATTTTCACATTACAATGAGCCAAAGTTTAATGGCATTTACCAAACTACCGTTTCCTAACTACAGCTCAGTGAATCATTAAGAAATTCAGGTACTTCGGAAAATAATAATCGAATATATACCATCCACTCACCATATTATTTCATGTATACTAACAGAAAAATTAATCGATTTGACTAAAAACTGCTTTAGAAGGGAAGGATTTTGATTCTGCCCTAACAGCTTACTTGGTAATTTTCCATAGTGTTTCTTAGTTTTATATTTCACATTCAGTGCCCCAAATACCCTGAGTTCAAATATTGTTAAAGATCTTACCTCTCCAGAGAAAATAAACTAATGCCTTCAATACCCCAACAAACATAAATAAAACGACCTACACACACCCGCCATTCTCTCTGCTGGCCGCCCCAAGTGTGAGCCCGGCAGCTGTGCTCCGCCTGTCACCCCTGT